CTTCCCTGATTGCAGTGTCTAACATCATGCTGCTGTAAAGAGACCTTCACGCTTTCCTCTACTGCAGCATTCACATTCACATCAAATGTAAGAGTTTAAAGTGTATTTCTCCCCACACGCAGTAGGCTCCTTGAGGCAGGGAATGTCCTTGTTCACTATTGTAGCCCAGGGTCCAGCAGAGGACCCTGAACAGCATAGAAACAGAGCCCAGCAATTATAAGCTTATACTGACTGCAAGACAATCAAGCAAGCCTCTCTGGTCTGTTGCATCCTACTCCCTACACACAATTTCGCTTTATCCATTTTGTGCCACTGCTACAGCCTAAAACCTCTTCCACCCTCACTCAGACCTGCTCCCAAATTCATTTCTTCCATGAAATCAACTCGTACCAGCCTCATTTTATATATTGTTACTATGGAAACTGCCTCCTGCCCTTTATCCTTCACAACCCTTGGGTTAGTCAGCAGTTAGGTCTGGCTGCATAGCTAGATACAAGTCAGCAGTAAACACGAAGAAGCTCTGAAAGGTTCAAGGCCTCTGTTCACAAAGCTGGAATGAAATGCCAGATGGTGCACTACCCCAGAGCTAGGCAGTGGGTTTGAGGTCTGAAGAGCAGGGTTCAGATCTCTGTTCTGCCATTTATTTGTGACTTGAATGTGTCATTAACCACAGAGACTCGGTTTCCTCAAATACACAATGGGGTTGATGACTGCTTCACAGGTTGATACTGCTAACAGCCTTCATGGAGCGAGTTTTGTAAAATACTGTGAAAACTGTGAAGCCACACCAAGTACAGATTATTTCAGTCACCGGGGCAACTAACCACCTGTCCAACCTTACTGTCCACCCCTCTCAGCAGTTTTGTCCTTGAGAATCAAACAGTATCTATGGAACCTCTTCCAGGAAAGATGCAAATGTACAACAGCTTAGTGGACACTTACAGGAGATTATTAAGGACCATACCACAAGGCTGGACAGCCACAGCCCAAACAAGAGTGCTAGAAAGCCCAAGGCCCGCAACCTGTCCCAGATACATGTGCCTGTTCATTCCCAGGTACCAGAGATGAAAAACAAGGTAGAAAAGGCCAGTCTTCAAGGAAAGCAACCTCAAGCTAAAAATGAACTCTAGAGCTTTCATCAGAATCTGAGAAAGGGGAAAAGCTAAAGAGTTCTCCTTGAGAAATAAAGACCCAATTTCTCTTCCATAAAGCAACTGATATACAGAAAGATTAGATGTTATAAAAATCCAAGATTTCTTGCTCTACTCTGCCAAGGGCTTTCGCTGACCTCTGTAAGGCCCTACTCCAGCTGGGTACCTAGGACCTAGGCATGAGTCTCTTCTAACTCTGTTCTGCCCACATCTCAGTCTGAGCTTTACACAGAAGACAATATAGGCCTGAAGCTGAGCGACTGAGCTCAGAGGCCCAGAGGAAGACAGTAGCCCCTCTCCAAAGAGCACAAAAAGGTAAGTTATGCAGAATTGTCATCAGGTTTGGAGACTTATCAAAAACTGTATTTTGCCTGTCTATACCTTCTATTCTCTCTCTGGGCACAGGATTCCCCCCCCCCCATGCTAACCATCTACCTCCTGCTGTCCTTCCACGATCTGAAGTATAAAGCACATAACTTTAAGACAAAGGCAGCAGATCCCAAAGCTGAACTGAAACTGGAGGTCAATGTGAAAGACCATAAAAGTGAGTATGAGAACAGACAAAAAGCAGCCTCCTACGAGAACATCTGCACAAACCTGCAAGACAGAAATGATGAAACCCAGCCAGGCCCGAGTGAGATCTTGGCCAGAGACACAGCTTCCACTGAGTCACAGCACGTCACAGCTGGGGAGGAACCATGTGGAACACCTCACACTCAGAGGAACCTGTTGGCTGGCTTCAGGGGAAGTGACCATCAGCTGCCTGCCTTCCTCAGGTCCTACCTCTGGGCCCACTGGGGAGATTCCAGGGCACCAGAAATCCAGAGTAATGGAAACATGCAAGCCTCTCTCCAGTGTGTCCTTCCATATTTGCTCTAACAGAACTAGCATTATGGACCCTTGCAGCCAACATATATGAAACTGAGCCCCAGGGTGTGTACTCTAAAATATTTAGGATTTGTTCCCTTTTGTAGGCTCTGTTACTACATTGCACTACTCCAGCTATACCACCTCTGTGTGCCCAAAACTAGGAGTATCTGCCCCAAACAGGCACTTAATGAGCATGTGCTGGAATTTTATCTCTAAAGCGAGAAAACACTTTCAGAATCTAACACCTGGCAGAGTCCATGTGTAAAATTTTCATAAGCATACTTCTAGGTACACAAACCTGTCCTGGCCAATGCATATTGGTGAGTATGTGGGAGGTTAGTAGATTAGCTGGCCAAACCTTAAATCTCTCCAGGCTGTGCCTGACAGTCATTGAATACATGAACTTGCAGAAATTCATGAAAGCAATGTCTTTGCTGTTCTCTGGACTTCTCCCTCTTGGGGAGGAGGACAGGGATGATAGTCTGGGAGGTTTCTCGAGCATCTACATTTTGAATCTAATGGCTGTGAAGCTAGCCACTAAAGAACAGACCTTGGCTTCAATAAGGAGTCCACAAGCACACCCATGTGAAGATGGGCATGCACTGGGTAATCGTGTACATAGCACACGCATTTATTACAGGCTAGCATGTACTGGATATATCACAGCCGATAGGCATTCACCAACAGCTGATTATTAGATGAGTGATAACACTTCAGTCCTTTAATTAAGTGCTGTTAGCAAATCAAGTGTTTCAAAAATAAATAAATAAATAAATACCACCATAAGCCATGTTCATCTTAGGTTCAGTACTTCCTAAGGAATCAAGAACACAATCTTTAAAAAAGTGGTCACTCCAAGCTATAAGTTTCAAAGAGAAATCACAGCAGAAGGAAAGTTGGCTTTCCTTAGTGAGATGCTCTAGGCAAGTTAGGTCACTTCTGAGCCTCAGTGTGCTCATCTATAAAATGGGGTTGACAAACCCTTACCTCGAAGGATACTTTTAAAAAATTGAGTGACAAGGGGTCAAGGGTAGGAGGGGAGCTGCCTTGTAAAGCCGTATAAACACATTATTATTTCAGCAATCTGCTAATCACAGATGACATTTTACCCAGAACGTGTTACGAAATTACTGCCTCTGAGCCTACTTATGCAGCAGGGACACTTGACACAGGAACTGAGAAGACTGATCTGTGCTGTTTAAGTTGAATCCAATTTCAAACACTCAAAGGGAGTTTCCTCAGATCCCAGAGCATTCTGGCCACCTTCTAGCGTCTGTCAGGGCATTGTGTTCCTCTATAATTGGGCTGTCTCGAAATCCAGGCAATTTCCTCCCGGGGCCCCTGCCTGCCCAGAGCCCAGATTCCAGAGGTTTAGGACCCAGCCCCAGCGCTAGGCAGGAGGAGCCAGGCCCGGGAAGGCCGCGCCCCTCCCTGGGCACAGGGCGGCTCCTTCCTGTGCTCCGGAGCTACTGCGCTTGGGCTTGGCCAGGCGGCGCTCTTGCTGTGTCACTTTCAGCCGTTGGAGGCTCCAGCGCCGCGGAGCCCGAGGCTGCCGCCTGGCTTTTTCCCTCAGGGTCGCTCTGGCCCGTAGCGGAGGATACCGGGCTTTGGGCGACATGGGTCGGCTGGGCTGCGGATGGCTGCGGGCTGAGCCCAGGCTGCGGTGGTGGGGCAGAACCTGGGCCTCAAGGTCCTCAGGCGGAAGAATTGGGGGGCGGGGGCAGAGTGCGCAGATTCTCTCCCCGCTGCAACGACCTCGCACCGGCCAGGCACTCTGGTACAAGGGTCAACTCGCTGGTGGAGGGGGTGTCCACACCCGCAGGCCCTCGGCTCCGCCCCTCCCTAGTTTGCGGGGTGAGGGGGCTTCAGGGACGAAAAAGGGAGGGGCCGTGCCTGCAGACGAGGAATTCCCCCTCGGCCACCAAAGCACACGCGACTCCAATAGTCTCACTCGACTCAGAGACTCAAGATTCTTTCCCAGGTATCCGGGCGCGCCGAAACCCACATGACAGCTGCCGAAGCTGGCAAAGAGGGGCTGCTAGACCGATCCGGCAGGGACTCTGGGCCCACGCGGGTCCCCCTACGCCGCAGTCTGCCCAGCCCCCACCCCACGCCTAAGCGATGTGTACACACACAGACAGCCGGGCGGGGGAGGCGACGCCTCACTCCTCCGGGTGGGGACAAGCTTGGCGCCGCCAGCCATCTACTTGCCGCGCCCCCTTTCCGCTCACACACACCCCCAGCCCTAACCCTGAGAACTCCGTGAAACCAAACAGAGCCAAAAGCGCGAAGGCGAGGGGCTTGGATTCTAGATTGTCTTTTAATGTCAAAGGAGAGAAATACCCACCTCAGGCGCGCGGCCCTGGGGTCTCCTCCGGTCGTATCCAAGCACTGCACACGATCCTTGGAGACCCCAGATCTCTGCCGCAGCACAAGCCACGGCCCTCCGCTCGATCTCCCCTACTACCCGCGCCTGAGACAGTCGCCTGCTCTCATCTTGGTGAAGCCAAGCCGGGAGCCCACCCCGCAGCTGCTAGGGTCACTCGCCACCCAGAGCTGGCTTTTAGAGCGGGTCAACTTAACCCCTGCTCCTCTGGGTGTATCTAATTCCCAAGCCCGATTACACCTCGGCGACAGAAGTAATCAAGTAAAAAGCCAACAGAACCACAACCGTAGGGATTTGCTAGAGCTGCCATCCAGCAGATCTCCCAATTCGGTTTCCTCCTGTGCTCCCATCCCCAGGTCCCCGAGGCCCCCCACGGCCCGTAAGCTCACCGGGGACGGAGGGAGGGGTCACAGCCTGTCTAGACCAGAGATATCCCTAGCCCGCGGGGACCAGCGTGCACATACACTCACACCGGGAGATGCCCTAGACACAATCTGTCACCATGGCGGGGAGGGGCTGCTTGGAGAAACACTCTGAGGGACCCTCCATGCGGCAGCCCGGAGCGCTGCAGCCTCCGGCCCCGACCATCCTACCTCAGCGGAGCGCGGTCACAACAGCTGCAAGTTTGCCGGGTACCAGACCAACTGCGCGCTGCAGCAAATGCGGGCTTCAAAACAAAAGGGAGTGGAATCGGGCTCGCTCGCTTCCTCCTCCCGGGTCGGAACCCGGCACATGACAGCAGCTACATAGAGCGCAGCTCCAGCGCGAGTCGGGCTCCAGCCGTGCGTCCCCCCACGAGCCCCCCTCCGCGCCGGAGCTCCAGGGCCTCGGCTCTCCACCGGGCGGGGAGTAGGACAAACCCAGGGAGGGGGCGAGGTCATGGACAGCATTACCCCACAGAGGGGAAGAGGGGACGGTGGAGGGGTGCGAACGCGGGGCTGGCTGAGACGCAGGGAGGGGGAAGGGGGCTAATTGTTTAGGGTGGTTTTCCCAGATTTATCTACGAGCACGCGCGCGTCTCTCAGCCCTCCTCCCCAGCCCCCAGTCGATCGGCAATCGGAGACCACTCAAAGAGGAGGGCAGCCAAGGATGCTCACCTCGGGGTTCCTCTGGCAGTCGCGCCAAGCTTGCGTCGGGGTGGGGGAAGGGGGCAGGGAAGGGGAAGGGAGGGACGCGGCTCCAAAGAGCCTACTCCTGCCTCGAGTTCCGCGCGTCCCAGCTGCGGAGCGGACCGGGCGCCCCGGCGCACCGACCAGCCTAGAGGGGAGGGAGGGAGGGAAGGGACGGAGGGAGGGAGGGGCGGGCAGGGGGAGGGAGTAGAGGAAAGGAAAAAAAAATCGGTCTCGTTCTGACACAGGGAAAGAGAATGTAGGAGAGTGACGTCCGGGTCCCGCCTCCCCCTCCGGCCACGTGCAGACTTGAAAGGAAAGAGGGCGGTGGCAGGCCTGCTGGGTAATGTAGTCCGCCTTTCTTTGCGAGGACGGCGGGCCCTGTAGAACCGAGTGCCGCGGGGACGCCAGGCGGTAGCCAGAGCCTACGAGACTGCTCAGTCTAGCAACGCTAAAACTTACCACCCAACGATGCTCTGGCCACGCCGCGGCCTGGGTGGGGCCTTCTTTGGTGAGAGGGGCTGAGGCCAGAGGCACGGTCTGCATTTGGTGTTAAGAGTGTAGAAAGCTATAAGGATGAGGACTTCTACACTTAAAGCGCATCCTGCCTTAATGGCAGATAAAAGGGAGCTTTGTGTATGGGGGAGGGGGGGCGCGTTGGTGGCGTCATTAATGCTGCATTAAGTGCCATCGTCGGTTATTGAGGTGCATATGTTACCATTAACATTTGCGCATCGCTGTGGCAGGGGCGGGATGTTGTAATTAGGTATGCACTTTGCAACCAATTAATTTTCCATTGGCCATGCTAAAGGCTGGGACAAGGTAGCTGGGCGTAGTCCATGCTGTAGATAATTTAGTCATCACTTAACCAAATCACCACTGTTAAAACTAAACTTGGCACAGAGCCACCTCTAGGAAAAAGTTAAAATGCTATGGCCCACCAAGCAAGAAAGTCACACACATAGAACTCCTGTAGAAATCCATACATTGATGAATTCTTACATTTGCTGAGCCTTCCTACAGACTAGGCACATCTGGGAATGCCAAGACAGGAAGACTCTTACTCTGAGATCCCAAGAGTTTGGTTTCAAAGGCCCACAGTCCGTGAAAGTACAGGAGATAAGTCAACATTTAACATAAATGTAAGCACAAAGAGCTATGGAACCCCCAGAAGAGCAGGCAACCAGGATGGCATGGGAGGGGGCAAGGAAAGGGTATTCATGCAAAGAATTACTATGATGCCTTTTCCCCTAAGATTTTTAACGAAGGGAAAGAAATGGACATGCATCTGACTAAAGCTACAGAGGATAAAGGCTCTGGATGCCAGAGAAGAGAGCTGATTTTGACTGGGGCAGAAATTTGGCGTGACAGAAGGGGCAAGTGGAACTGGGCAGTGTAGAAAGCGGGCAGTGAGTCCAGAGGGCAGGAGGAGCCTGGGACAGCTTCCCAGAAGAGGTGAGCTTAGCAAGGGCTTGGAAGGATAGATGGGATTTTGTTTTATGTAGAGAATGTGTATTTGAAGCTTGAGCTATGGAAGGAGCTAGTCAAGTAATGGATAGAAAGCAGGACAGTATCCACATCCACATAGTTAGTTTGGCACAAGCTAATTTCATTGTGCCAAAGTGCATGGTGGGTAACACACACCCAAATCCATGCCTGCTAGAGAAAGGCAGCAGGCCCAGAGATTCCAGCAGCCTGACCACAGCCAAGAATTGCCAAGAGGCAGAGAGGACACTGGAAGCCTGGTGTCTGGTGCCAGGCCTAGGGCTGCCTCGCACCAGAGGAACAGGCTTCCACACACCCGACTCTTCCTGCTGCTTTGTCCCTCTCAGCATTCATGTCTCATTGGTTTAGCAGTGATTTATTTTTATGTTTTAACCTCTGGACAATTTCCTGGATTTACAAAATATTAATTAATAGGACTGAATTCCATCCTTTCAGCAACTTCTCATTTCTTTACCTTGCTGTTTTTGCATGTTGTATGACAGGGATGCCAGCTGTACAGGCAACGAGAATGGAATGGCCCAAATCTTGGCTTTACTCTTACTTTAAGTCACTCCCAGAGATGATGGAGGAGAGGCTGAGCAAGGCACAGAATGTAAAATGCCCAAGGATAGCCAGGGCCTCTGGATGAGATGTGGACCTGGGGTAAGCCAGGCAGTAGGAACAACATGCTCTCCAACTGAGCTGGGTTGGAATCCCCATGTTCTTCTGGATGCTGCTACCTGAGGCAGCTAACTTAACCTTCAGGGAAGGTGACCTTGGAAGTTTACTCAGCAACCTTCTTGGCTTTGTGAGGACCCATGGAATAATGTATTTAAATGGGGGCTGTAACAGGGCAAGCTATTCATGATGGCAGAGTCTCTTTTCTGCCCCAAAGATCTTTCTAATCTATGAGCATGAGCCCTGATTTTTCTTCTGCAGACTTAGACCAACAGAGCTGGCACTGCAGGGAGCACCCCAAAAAGGGATTGAAGCTCATTCTTAATCTTCACGAATCTTCTTGGCTCCTGCTTCTCCCACCCACTCTTATCAGCTGGCTGTGGTTTATGTTCTCCTTCACACCTTGCTGCCCCAAGACCCACATCTGAGTCCACCTTCTCTCCATTGTGCCCCAATCCCCACACTGATGCACATCAACTTGTCTTCTGCCTTTCTGTGTTCTCAGAGCTTGACGCTTTGCTTTGCCTCCATGTTAATAAACCTTCACTGACATTCCTAAGATCTTCCATACATTCTCTCCTCCAACGCTGCCATTTTTAAAATTTTCTTATTGAGAGCTCTGTAAGGTAGCCTCTGATGATAAGCATTTCAAGGTGCTCTGTGGATCCCTCAGACTGAAGTTCCTTGGAGGGGAGTGGCAGGTAGCAGACTGGGCTTATGTAGCCCCCATCTGAAGCCATTCATCCCCTTGTTGCCATTTACCTTGTACCCAGCCTACAAGTTAGACTTAGAAAAGCTGAGTCAATGAACTGGATATTCCTGGGGAAATGACACCTACATCGGATAACTGGCAGATTTGGAGTGGCCAAATGTCCTGGAAATGAAAACTGGAATAGTTCTCTATGTTTTAAGCAGTTGCTTCTAATCCATACTTGCCTATGATATTAGCAAAAAGAAACATTTCTTTTTTATCTCTCTACTCTTTCTCTCTGTTCCCTCTGTAGTTTTACCAGGAAAAAGTTGCCCACTTCCCCGATTCCTCACATTTAGCTATGTGTGTATTCAGTTAGTCTAATTTTTTGGTTCTAAGGGCTTCACATTATCAACCACTGAACTACACCTCACACCGCTCACATTGATTAAAGGCCTGGTGGGAACCAGAGAGTGCTAAGGGAGAGAAGCTGTGGCCAAGCTGACATCCAGACCGCCATACAAAGTTAAGCGGTTCACTGCACAAGGCTAATTTTACCTGAACTCAAGGTTCCCAGTGGGCTGTGATGGTCAGAGAAGACTTCCGGGAGGAAAAGAGGGACTAAGGCCATGTATGACTTTCTACTGTGAGGAATTCAGAAGTGGCCCATGTCCCTGGTAGGTAGTACTGGCTGGGGAACACTCCAGAAATAATGACTTTAAGGGGAACTAAAGTGGTTTCAGAGTGAAGTGTGCAGGCGCTGACTCCACAGGAGGAAGTTGCCAGGCTGGCATTGGCTCCGCTACTGTGGTGTGCTGGCCTACAGCGATAATGGTTCGCTGGAACCAGGTTGAATTTCACCCATGCCTCCTCTCAGCTTCCACTACACAGCCCAAAGACCATCGCAAGAACATCAGATGCAAGGTGATCCCCTAAGGCGGCATCAGGTGAGGAGGAAGGGACGTGGACAGAGGACAGTGAGCTTGAGAAAAGCAAATGTGGACTAAGAAATAAACCAAGCAATATCTATGGACAGCGTGCTGCCCATGTGACACAGCAAGGTGTCCACCTAACACCTGCTGTGTGAGATTTTCTCCCTCCGGGTCTCAGTTTCCATATCCCTAAAATAAATTAGATCACTAAGATTATCTCCAAATAGGAGGTTTCCTGGAGGGAAAAACCTCATATTTACAATGATATGTACAGATATTTACAATCTCTGTGGGAAAGAAAAAAAAAACTGTGAAGTTAAGTAAGTAGAAGGACAAATTCTAAGTGGTTTAAGTCTGGCAGAGCAGAAAATGCCTGTAATAGTCATCAAACAAAGCCTTGAAGATCTCACAGGAACCAAAGGCAAGGAGACCTTGCTTGCAAGATTCAAGGACAGTAAGAGAAGCCCGTGAGTCGTAGGATATTCCTCAGGATTCTCAGAGCTGATGGTCAGTCCTCACAGGTCACTGGCATGAGTGCTTAATCCACACCCTTGTCCTTGAGGAGGGCTTGGAACACTTATACCTACATCTTTACAAGAGACTACTGTCCTTGTTTACCAGGCTACACACACATAGAGAATCACTGTTATCCTGGCTAGAGAGCTGAGCCAATCGGATCGCCTCTTGCAAGAATCTGAAGGAAGAAACTGAGAAACTTTTGCTCATTGGCAATGGCTCCTTAAGTCAAGGCTTTTGGCCTAGGTGGGCAAACTGCAAGATAAAAAAGCTGAGGGAGAGGGAAGAGAGGTAGAGAGGGAAAGAGGGAAACAGAAAAGGGGGAGAAGAAAATGTCCAGGGTTTTCTTGTTCTCAGTCACTGGATGCTGTATTGTACCTGTCTTCAATTCCTGATCTGCCTGTATCTTCATAGCAGTCCCTTTAATGTCTGTTAGGCAGTGTGGGTTTTTAATCACTAAAAAAATCAGGGAGAGAAGTTCCATCACTGTGATCCCTGTAGCTGGGACTCTCTCCCCCTGAAAAAATGCTTTCACTTTTCTGTCTAAGATATCTTCCTTTTCCATTACTTTGTAATTGCTGCCTATGAAATTCTTACTCTAAATTGCTTGTAAATTAACTTGGTCTTGAGTCTTCCACAGCTCCAAATCATTTTTAAAGACCATAGCTAATAGATTAATTGAACAACTACTATCTGCCAGGCAATGAATAAAACATAGCTGGTGCTTTTTCTCATCCAGTTGACACTGGAAAAAATAGGTTAGGAGAGATGTAAGAGTGTGCTCAGAGCACAAAGCTGGGCTTCCATGGTGGTGGTGCCCCCAGGGTCATGGACCTTGGAGCCAGGGAGCTGAGCCACACTGCCCACCTCGGACCTC